TAACGAGTACATTTTTCCTCTGTGAAATCAATCAATCAATCAATCAATCAATCAACCACTTAACCAAGGTCTAATTGTGGAAAAGGGTCCCCATAAACGTACAACTTGAACCGGACGAACAGCCCCATTCCTAAGGGGCGGAACCATGTGTCTGGTTGAATTTGCACAAAGCTTTGTTTATTTTTTACTTTTTTGGACTGACTCTGACCTGGATGAATCTCCACCAGCAACATCACTTTGGGGTAAACATCTCCGACTGAAAGTATAAACTGCTGCAGAACTAAAGAGCTTCTTTGGTGAGATCACTGAACCCTAGGTGCACAACAAACTATTGCTGCAAATCCTTCTTCCCAGTAGCTGTATGCCTACATAACCATGAGCCTTCAGTTAAAACCTCCTGATAAACAGACACTGGAGGCATAAAGCATGGTGAGCTGCACGGTGTTGGTTAAATGCACCAATTCTTTAAAGCACCATCCAATGCACACCAAGTCACAGCAATTCTTGTGCTGCGTTCACACGGTTTCATTTTCTTTTTCAAAGTGTCCGTTTTACATGCAAAGTCTATGGGGAACGGCATCAAGAGGACCAACAGCGCATCTGAGCGTTCTAGCATCAGAGTGAGTGTCACACTGATGGTCAACCAATCAGAGAAGCTGATCCAGGAGGTTTTTGGTTGAGACAGACACTACCTGGCAGCTGTCTTCGCTTCTGCAGACCTTCTTCAGATGAAAAATAAAGAAATATCAAGGAGTTTAACTCCAGAGGTTAAATGAAGCAGGTAGAATGGATTGTTATGAAGAAGGAACAGAAAGCAGCTCTGATCATTATTGCTGCACTAAAACATTTTTATGAGCTACAGAGAAACAGGTTATAAATACCCAGATTAACTAGAAATGTTAAAACTTGCTGATGAAAAATATTAGATTGTATATTCTGGTTCTTGCAGTTTTTACCTCAAACATTATAAACGTTTTATTCACTTCCAGCCGCTACGAACGGCAGCAGGAAATCCCCCACAGGCTGCCTGCAGCAGAGAGCTTTCAGCGGGGATTCCCAGCGCTGCCTCCTGGTGGGATGCTGGAGGTCTGCAGCTCCAAACAAGGACTGCAGATTATAGTGGGATTATAATCCTGATGAACCAGGCTTTTATCTAGCAATGTGTGCGGGCTTACATTGTACGTCCTTTACTAGAAATATTAGAAATTGTACACCGTTTTTGGGCTGTACAGCTTTGGTACAGCATAATTTCCCTCTGGAATATCTAATGTCCCTACAGAAAACTTCTCCTGTGGAAACAAGCTGTGCTGTTTGAAAGCAGGTTAGGATGAAACTTTGAAAAGTTTACGAAAACTACAGGATTATTGGAGAGAGTTTTTGTGACAATGAAGTTTCAGATTAGTTTCAGTTGGATCCTTAACAGAGTAGATGGACAGAAATAAAAGCAGTCCTGGCTGAATTTTCTCCTCTGATTGTTTGAAGACTGATTCAGTCATTGTTGTTCAACTTTTTGTTTATTTAATAATCAAGTTTCATCCTTAGGACAAAGTTTAAAGGAAAAGTTTGGTCAGCGAGGAATAATCAATGGATCATTATTTATACCTAAAACTAATATGCTCTCGGTAATTTAATGAATTTAGCATTAATCA